TTTTTTTTTTTTTCTTTTAATGGATCCTTGCTCTGTCGCCCAGTCTGGAGTACTGTGGCGCAATCTTGGCTCACTGCAACCTCCACCTCCCAGGTTCAAGCAAGTCTCGAGTAGCTGTGACTACAGGCATGTGCCACCACACACAGGTAGTCTTTTGTATTTTTAGTGGCGACGGGGTTCTTGCCATGTTAGCCAGGCTGGTCTTGAACTCTTGACCTCAAGTGATCTACTCGCCTTGGCCTCCCAAAGTGCTGGGATTACAGGTGTAAGCCACCTCGCCCAGCCCCGGACGGGATCTTACATAACCTCTTGCCCAAGCTTCCTGTGAGGTGGGAGAGACAAAACCCAGGAACGCTACATCTGATTGTCCAGCCAGATAGTTCAGCAAGACTGAGGGTTCAGGCTGTAAGCCTTCACCATGGCTTCTTCCGCCCTTGCTGAAAAGTCCAGCACAAACTACCCGCTTGCTACCATTTCTCCTCCTCCTATAGACAAGCCATCCAGCTACACTGGGGACCATCTGGGAACGGGGTCTATATTTAGGCTTGGAGGAACCACTACCTTCCAAAATGCACAGAAATGAAAACAGGCCCCCTTGTTTCCCAAAACTACCCAGTGTAACCTCTCTGGTGGGAGCCAGGGGCAGGATGAGATTCCTGGCTGGAAAGGGCTCAGAATTTTCGGAAGTCCTTCTAGAGACCTTTCCCTTTTAGACTGAAGCCCTCCACCCCCTGCTGCCCCCAGACAGATAAAGCTGCCCCTGGGAGAGCAATGCTGAAACATTTGGCAGTTGACTGTGACTAATAAAAACCTGGACCCAAGGAATTTTAAAAATTCACAGCTGTCTCAGCCTCTGTGGTTAAAATGAGAAGAAAGGGCTTTTTCAGGTCTCAGCGTCCTTCCCAAAGAACATGAGAGAGCAGAGAATGGGGGACAAAGTTCTCCCCTAGGGTAGAAACAAATGGCTTTCTCTTCATTCTGTCCTCATCACCCCTCTGTCGGCCCCTCAAGACCTCTGGGGTTGCCCACTTTTACAAAGGGGAAACTGAGGCTCAGAGGTCATTCAGGGGAAAGGCAACACCTAAAGCTCACAGCCTGGGGATTTCCAATCAGTTCTGGCAATGGAATTGCTTTTGACAAAAGAGCCTTTAGAAGATGGGTAAGGACTGGGCACAGTGGCTCACGCCTGTAATCCCAGCACTTTGGGAGGCCAAGGTGGGCAGATCACCTGAGGTCAGGAGTTCGAGACCAGCCTGACCAACGTGGAGAAACCCCATCTCTACTAAAAATGCAAAATTAGCCAAGCGTGGTGGTCCACGCCTGTAACCCCAACTACTCGGGAGGCTGAGGCAGGAGAATCGCTTGAACCTGGGAGGCGGAGGTTTTGGTGAGCAGAGATCACGCCATTGTACTCCAGCCTGGGCAGTAAGAGTGAAATTCTGTCCCGGAAAAAAAAAAAAAAAAAAGATGGGCAAGGAAGAAGGTGGAGTGGGGAAAAGAAAAAAGACCAGGATGTTCCCTGACCTACAACACACAGCCCAGCCACGATGCTTCCTGAGCATATGACCTGGCCACGTGCAGAGCAGCCAGGGAGCAGAGGTTTACTCAGCAGGGCATCTGGATTTGTCATCTCTCCTTATCTAATGCTTTTTCCAACTGGTCTACCCGCCATGGGCGGAAACAAAGCCTCTCGATTTAAGGGGCTCTGAAATCCTGGGAGGTTTGGCTGGGGTTCTGTTTGCCAGGTTTAAAAGAGATCCGTTCACTTGGAGCCAAGAGTATTTGACATTTGCTTATTTGTTCCTACTTACCTCCTTTTAAGAAAGTTTTGAGGACTGACCTAAAACTCATGTTCTTTATATCCAGACAAACTTCTGTTTGATAGCACAGTGTCCAGGGACCCAGGAAGGGTCAGTCACTCTGGACATACAGCTGTGAGTTCCAGTCTCCACTGGGACTGGAACCTGGGGGTTCTGCCTTCAATTCTGGAGTTCAAAACTGAGAATATACAAGATATGATTGTGCAGCCTATGTCAGAGAAGGGGAAAACTGAGAGCCTGCCTGGTTCATTTCCTGGATAAAATGAACCGAGGCTGGTGATTCAGTGGTAGGACTAACCCAGTACTTTCGAGTCTGCAAAGCACTTTTACAGCAATCATCTGATTTTGTTCCCCTACAGAATATTTAAAACTACCTTGTAAATGATGAATGCACACTACGTCTTTTTGATGGAGAAACCACTGCCACTGGACTACAGACCGTCACAGCTGAAAGGGATTGAATTCAACTTGCTGGACACTACCCGGTTGAAGTGAACCCTTGCCCAATTGTTTGGGATGCTGGTCAAAAGGCAGCTTAGGGTACGAACCTACGAACTTTCCCTTGGTGGGGTCATTTATATGAAGAAGGTGTGATTTTTTTCCTCCTCTAGAGGGGAATTCACAAACTATCAGGAGCCCCCAAGGATTCTCCAAGCAGCTGCAGGAGTCCAGGGAAGCACAGTTAGCTCATTAAGTGAAATTCCATCAGCCAGGCTCCAGGGCTTAGTGACTCATGCCTCTGGCATTCCAGAGTAGGGTGAACTCGGTCTAGACTGATGCCGTTTTCTTCCACTCTCTGCTCTGGGAATTCCAGTGCACTCTGGGGGAAGCATGGGCTGTGACGGTCATCTGTAATTATCTGTGCTCTAGCCCCAATCTCCAGGGGTTAATGAGGGTGAATGTTACAGAAACCAGCCCACATCCTTGCAGAGTAGCCGTGGGAAGGGATGTGGATGCCCTCATCACATTCATTAGCCCAGTGGTCTACAACCGGGGGTCACAAGACATGAGAAAGCATTCGCAGACATTTTGTTACTGGCCACTTTTGAATTCGCCCCTTCCAAACTGGGGGAAGTCGAGGGAGGGCTTTAACTCTCACACTTTGATATGAAGAGTGAAAAGTCTGCACCTGGTTTCAAGGTCAAGACCATCAGGGGCTGGAGAAAAGACAGAGAGAGACCCCAAGCACATAATATACACGCTGGCCGGCAGGCACCCCCTCACTCTGTGTTCTCACACACACGTCATGCCTGTGTGCACTGTCCATATCCAGCTGGTAGGCTATGTGGGATGAGCGCATTTTCCCAGACACTGAGTAACAAGGGTCTTAAAACTTGGCAATCACTTAATCCCACTTACTTCCCCATGTAGGCAACTGACCACAATATTCCGGACAAGAGGTTGTCCAGTTCATGCTTGAATTCCTCCTCCACCGACGAGGAGCTCACCTAACTTAGGGTACAGCTGTCTAGTGCAGGAATTCCACTGAGCTGAGATCTATTTCCCATCACACTCCCCTTCGCCTTGGCTCCGGAAGTTGGATATATTCTTTTTTTTTTTTTTTGAAACAGAGTTTCGCTCTTGTTGCCCAGGTACCATCTCGGCTCACTGCAACCTCCGCCTGCTGGGTTCAACCTCAGCCTCCCAAGTAGCTGGGATTACAGGTGCCCGCCACCATGCCCAGCTAATTTTGTATTTTTAGTAGAGATGGGGGTTTCACGATGTTGGCCAGGCTGGTCTTGAACTCCTGACCTCATATGATTTGGCTGCCTCGGCCTCCCAAAGTGCTGGGATTATAGGTGTGAGCCACGGTGCCCGGTCGGGAGCTGGCATATTTTCTAAACATTCTTCTGCATGGTAGTAGTTCAAGTATTTTAAGAGAACCATCTCTCCCCGTATCTCTTCTCTTGACAACTTCAGTTCCTTGTGATACGGTTTCCAGGTTTGTCTCCATCCTGTTGGCTTTTCCTCTGATGGACATCTGGATCCAGAACTGAACCCTGCAGTCAGTGATTGGTCCAAAAGGCGAAGAGCTTAGGGAACTAATTCTTCTATCAGTAAAGCAGTTAATATTCACTTTTTTTTTTTTTTTTTTTTTTTTTTTTTTTTTTTTTTTTTTTTTTTTTTTTTTTTTTTTTTTTTTTTAGCAGTCCTGTCACACTCTTGGCTGATACTGAGCTTTTAGTCAACCACTGCCCCCTGGGATATTTGTTCTTTTATTTTTTTGAGACAGGGTCTCACTCTGTCACCTAGGCTGGAGTGCAGTGCTCACTGAAACCTCCACTTCTTAGGGTCAATCATCCTCCCACCTCCGCCTCCCACGTAGCTGGGACCACAGGCGCGTGCCACCATGCCAGGTTAACTTTTTTAATTTCATAGAGACATGGTCTCGCCGTATTACCCAGTATGGTCTCAAACTCCTGGGCTCAAACAACCTGTCCACCTCTGTCTCCCAAAGTACCGGGATTACAGGTGTCAGCCACCACACCAGGCCTTTAAAAAAAACAAAATCAATGATTTTTTAGTTACTTCCCCAAAGTCTGCACTCCTGTGGCTGTGTTTTTCTTCATGAACTTTGATATAGGACCTTCTATTCATCCCTAATATGTTGCGGCTTGGACCTGTTATTTCAGCCTACAGCAGCTTTTCTGAAAGTTCATTCCATAATTTTATACTCTAGCAATCTCTCCTAGCTTTGTATCTCCCACAGATTTTACCAGTATGCCTTTTAATTGCCACAAACATTCCTGATACATGATGGGGAGGCCGGAGCAGAGCCCTAGGGCTCACCGTCAGAGACCATCCACTCTGTTTATACACAAATTAGTCAGCAGTTCACCCTGGGTATTATTAGTCAGTGTGTTCATGACTTCACCCAAATGCATGTCCACCAAAGCTGCGTCTCTTCTTCTTGTCCACAACAATTTAATAGAGGGCATTTCTTCAGCTGAGAGGAACGGTCCTATGACTTCAGCTACTGACACAGGCTGTTCCAGGAGGTATTTTGGAGAAACGTCTCAGCATCCCACAAATATCCCACGTAGGTGGTCTAGGTGGTTCTCCACCCATCAGGCCAGCACTGCCAGTAAGCACGAGCCTCAGCCACAAAGCCCGGGATACAAGAATCTTCTGGCAACTCACAGAGGCTCTCCCCAGACAACCTGAGGTGTAGGCCCTTTCATGACCTACTTTCAGCGGGTACCAAAGGGAAGTTGCAGGGAACTGATCATCAGCGAAAGTTCCCGCAGTCTGTGTGATTGGGCCAGAAAGCTCCCCTCTGGCTCCTGGTCGCTAGCCTGATCTGTCTGACAGCAAGAGGGAGCCCTTCTAGGAAAATGCAGAGCGTGGAAAGCTGTGGATGTCACCTGGCCCTTTAAGCCAGACATCTTCACAAGCTGCTTGCTCTGGGTTTCTGGAGATTCGACAGGGCCCATGCTTCTCCTTGGAAGGATCCCCAGCTTTCTCCAAGGTACACATCTTGTCTTGCAGAGACTTAGTGAACTTTCACTGATGATCAGTCCCCTGCAACTTCTTCCCTTCGGTACCCGCTGAAGGTAGGTCATGGAAGGGCCTAGACCTCAGGGTGTCTGGGGAGAACCTCTGTGACCTGGGCTAAGGTTCTAAGGGCTGGAGGACAAGGGCCACCTTTTCTTTCCCTACTGGTGCCCCAAACCAGTAGGTACCCAACAAATGCCCAGAATAAAGGTAGGGGCTAAGCTTTCCCATCATGGAATCTCAGCCCGTGCAGAGTAAGAAAGTTCTCTCTAACATTATTTTTTTTTTAGTCTTTTCTAAGCTTATTCCACCCCATGAAGGTTCTGCTTTTGATATGATCCATTTTATTTCTTCCTGGAAATGCTAAGCATTGGAACTGGCACTCAGGAGGTATTCAACAAATGTTTATCTAATGGCATGCCACTCAGAGTCCTTTTTCCAAAATCATTTTTTTTTTTTTTTTTATAATGGTAGACAAGCCTTCCCATGTTCTCCATACAAAACTTACTGATGTTTTGGCCTTCCTTTTTTATTCAAACCATCAATGACTTTCTTATGCCAAGAAGGTGGGTCTTCACTGGACACTCCAAGTGGATTACCCTGAAGTTCTAGGTTGAACAGAGGCCCATCCAAGTTGTTACAAATCAGCTCATGGTCCTAGTAGGCAGGGCAAGCTGTGAAGACATGATTTGCGTCCATGTGCTTCTCACTGCTGTTGAGTTTGATGTTTCAACCTGGGAGATTCTCCACCTAAGGAGTAACAATTTCTGGTTTGCATTTCTGGGGAGAAGAAAATTTGGGAGGTGGAGATGTTGTTCCCATTAAGTACGTAGAATTTATCTATTGGATACAATGATGAGTAAGGTAGAGCCCCTGCCCTCTGGGAGCATCCAATCTCATGGGAGAGATAAGATACATTTAACTGGGGCTAATTATTGTCCATGAGGTTATAAGGAATGGAGATGGAAAATTTTGTGAAACTGGGTTGGACAAGCCCATCCTTGAGATCAACTTCATGGTAAAGAAAGCAAAGCTGTCAGCTGGCCATGGTGGCTCACGCCTCTAATTCCAGCACTTTGGGAGGCTGAGGTGAGCAGATCATGAGGTCAGGAGTTCAAGACCAGCCTGACCCACATGGTGAAACCCCATCTCTACTAACAATACAAAAATCAGCTGGGCATGGTGGTGCGTGCCTGTAATCTCAGCTACTCGGGAGGCTGAGGCAGGAGAATCGCTTGAATCAGGGTGGCGGAGGTTGCGGTGAGCCAAGATTGCCATTGCTCTCTAGTCTGGGTGACAAAGTGTGACTCTGT